ATCGAAAAGTCAATTTTAAGATTGTATCAGGATATATTTTGTATATGCATGCGTATCAGAGAAAAACTAAGATATGCATAGATACGCTTAGAAACATTATAAATACTTTAATAAATCATAAAAATACATCAATAATACTAAATATAAGACTCTAATAAGGTGTATATACATTAAATTAATACATTTTAATGGTTTTATGAAGAAATATATTGTAGTTAAATATTATTTCATTAAAACCTTGGGTAAAACTTCTTCTTCTTCTTCTTCTTCTTCTTATTATTATTATTATTATTATTTACCACATATTTTTTTTGTAAACTTTATCACATATGGGTTATAACCTGTATATACTTAACCCGATAACCCATAAACTAACAAAGAAAATTCAGGCTGATAGAAAAGGGTCAACTCTGTCCCATTTTGGTCGTATTCTTCGTATGTTTGAGAAAAAGTGGGTCTACAAAACCCATAACATAATGGTATCATTTTTTGGCCGTTTTTAGCATGTAAGTGGCCAAAAAAGCTATATGGTCATTATTTTCAAATCAAATCTTGTTTTCCACCTTATTTTTTTATGGAATTAAGAGGAAAATGTAAAAAGGAAAAACAAAAAGAGAATGCAACAGTTCGTTGTGCAAAGTGCAATTAAAATAATAAAGAGTTAAGAATGATTTACATTGAAATGATGGTAATCTAGGCTGACACATCTTTAACCAACCATTAAGGTGAGATATGAAACAAATATGAAAAGAGTAGCTTATAGAATAGAAATCAATATTAACGTAAGAAATTTAACAAAGAGAAACAAAAGATTACAAAATTATTAAATTTTATGGACAGACCTCTAAACTCTTCTCAAATCCCAATTCAATTGAATACTTCATCTCAACAATTAGTTACCTTGTCTCCAATCTACTTCAAAAAATGCTAACAGGGAATAACAAATTCAGTCTCAACTTTCAAATGTGACTTTAATTTCTCACAATTACCTTGTCTCAACTATTGTAAGCACACTACAACATGGGTGGGAGAAGGAAAAACAGAAAGAATGCAAAAATAATGAAAACTCATGGGAGTGAAATGCTGTCAAACACAAATTTCTTGTGTAGAAATTCAAAGAGAGAAAAATGATGATAAATATCAATTCTTTGATATTTTATAAAATGTTATACAGATCTTTGAGATTTGATCTCTTTACAATGAGAAATCCTCTTATTCTTTTATTTAAGATTCAATCCAGGTGCTTGAAAAGCTTGTTCTCCGATGAACTTGGAAGTATGCATGATCCAATAATTGATGAAGCTTCTTCCTGGACTAGTGCTTGAAGACCTTGCAGTAATTGTATTTTAGAGGTCTCTTGTAGAGAATCCCTGAGGGTTTCTTGGGTTGGTGAAGAACCCTAAGGCTTCTTTTGATGAAGGACTCTGGAGGTCTTTGGACTTTTCTTCTTGTTCTTCCAAAGATCTCCTGTTAATGCAAAAAAAAAAAATGTGAAGAACTCTGAGACTTCTAGGTTTTCTGTAGTTGAATGTATATGGAGCTTTTTCTTCTTCGTTCTTCCAAAAATCTTTTGTGTGTTGGAAAAAAAGGTGAAGAACTCTAAGGCTTCTACCAATGAAGAACTCTGAAAATCTTATGTAGATTGGGGTCTTTGGAGCTTTCTTTTTGTTATCCCAAAGATCTTCTTGTGTGTTGAAAAAAATGTCATTTCTCTATGAATGATAATCTTTTTTATAAAAGTGGGTTGAGAGAGTCTTAGTTAGTCTCAACCTTCTTGGTGGAAGCTTATCCGTTGGGACTTTAACCAATCACTTTCAACCTGTAGGGCCCATGTGATAAGGTTTTCTCCTTATTTGCTTATTTGTAGTGTTAAGGCTAAAATAACCATCTTGAACAAGATTTACTTAGCCTTATCTTTTTATCTAAATTTCTTTCTAGATAAATTTGGGAGTTTAGGGATTCTTTTAGTTGATTCCACTTAAGTCCATTGGATTTTGACAGGCCTAAAGTACAGGATACTAATCGAAAATTTTCCCTTTAATTTATACTTGAATTTCTTGTAAGTTTGAGCTTCCATCTTGGATATCCAAAAATAATTGGAAACTTATTAATGGGTGTTAATGTTTGTTGAAACTTTATTTAGATAGACATGATTATAAAACAGGTTATTTGGGTAACTTTGGATAGCTTTCCTTAGAATCGTGAGGCATTGGGATATTCAAAGGGGTAGAGATGAGGGAGAGAACATGGGTGATGACTTTAAAGATTGAGAATGGTGGGAAAGAAGAAGGGAGAGAAAATTAAAGAGAATGAAAGAAGAGGGTTTGGAGAAAGGAGAGGCCATGTGACATGGACAAACATGCTTTATATATATAGTATAGATGGTATAGATACCATATTCTAAAATGCAGTTGTTCACATTAGCTTACTCTCTTTTGTTTCCCGAAAATAAAATTCAAGTAGGATTTACTTACAAATGATTCAATTTCCTCTTTTTGTCATGAAACTAAGGCTATGTTTGGTTTGAAGGAAAAAGGTAAGGAAAGGAAGGGAAAGGTAGGGAAACTCGTACAAGGTATGTAAAGGTTTCCCTACCTTTCCTTTCCTTTCCCTACTTTTTCCTTCAATCCAAACACAACCTAAATGTAATCACCCTCACTTAACATGGGTATCTTTTAACACCGGCTCATGCATTCCACAAGTCTCTTACAATTCTTCTTCAAAAGTAAGAGGTTAGAAGTCAAGGTACAAAAGTACTTAATAAAAGAGTTTTTTAAAGAAAAGGGTTCATCTATGACACCAGAAAAACGTACAACCAATCAATTAGTATCATAAAAGAGGTGGCCAATCAAGTGGTATTCATCAAAATTCACGGGGGGCTTTGATTGGTTAAAGCTCTTCCATTACCATGTCCTTATGGCATCATAGGTATTCCCTAAAAACTTGATAAAAATGAAGGGTTTGATTATGATATCAAAAGGACATGATACTAAAAAAACTTGTAACCAATAAACTAACATCACAATAGTGGTTACTCTTTGAAAAACATATATGTGATATGCATGGAATACTTGGCTATTCAAGCTCGGCTCGCAGGAATAGTATCAGGCTCGAGCTCGAGGTCAAACTTTATTCAAGTTAGACTTGAGCTCGAGCTTGGCTCGGTTCGTAGCTCGCAAGTTCGAGCTCGACTATAAGCCAAGTTTTTTTTTTGAAAAAATAAAAATTATATGTATAAAATTATTAATTTTATTTCTTAGACAAAAAATTAAGAATTATAAAATTATTTAATATTATATATACAAAAAATTAATTATAAAAATTATTTTTATTTTACATACAAGAAAATAAGAATGATAAAAATCATTTACTATTATACATAAAAAATAAAAATATTATTATATATAATTAAATTATTTATTTTATATATATGCATGCATGTATGTATATATTAAAAATTATTTATTTAATACTAGGCTCGCGAGCCTTACGAGCCGAGCTTCATTGGGCTTGAGCTCAGCTCGATTATCAATTGAACTTATATATCGGACTTGAATTCAGCTCGAAGCTCAGTTTAAACGGAGCCGAATTGAATTCAAATAACTCATGAAAAGCTCGGTTCGTGACCACCCTTAAGAACAAAAATTAAAATATTGATATGATACATCTTATATTGGGCATATCTTATGTACCCATGCATCTATATACACACCAACACAAAAGACATTTTATAAAATGTAAAACTTAGAACTATGGACCCAACCATCTAATGATTCTAAAATTAAAAAAGAAAAAAAAAATCAGAGTGTCAATTATATACTTACGCCCAATACCCAATTTTAGAACTTTCGAATTGACGAATGGAGTCCGGCGGTGCTAAGATTTGCTTTGTAGAGAAAATTAAGGCTTAAATTGCTGCATTTACTACTATCAACGAACGGAGTCTCCTTTCATTTTACTTTGCTTTGTCAGAAGACTCAGAACAATGTCTTAGTTCTCAAGGATTCAGTAGCTTAGGAAATGAAAAAAATTGCTAAACAAATTTCAAGGGTATTATTGTGTGTGTTTTTTCGTTCATTGTCTGTAAATAGACACCACAGTGGCTTAAACATCAAGTGAACATGAACGGATGAAAAAGTGAGACATCAAATTTAATGTCTTTTGTAAAAAAATCTCTTTAATTTTTTAAGGGATAATTACGTATAAGACCTTGTACCTTGGGGATAATACCATATAAGAGTCTAAACTTTCTATTATGACAATCAAATATTCTCAACTTTCAAAAATGAACACTCAAGTCCAACCGTTAGGATTCTGTTAGAGTTATATGTAGCATGTAATGTCATGTGTGCCTTTTGAAACATTTCAATATTCTAAAATTACCCTTTATACATTTTATGAGACCGTTTCATAAGGGGCTCTTTCAGTTATATCATACTGCCTTTGCATCAAAATCTGATCATTTTCTCAAACAAATTTATTATTAAGACTGCACAAAAGGAATTGGAATTGAGATTTATTCTTCATAAAATACACCTGACACCGACCTCATAAGTATATCTCACCAGAATGCATCGGAAACATCTCCCTGTAAATAACAATACACAAATACTGTAGATGCTATCTATAATGTAGCGCTGGTTGGTATGAGGAATGTGAGGAGCAGCTTGGATAAAAGGAATTTAAAATGATTAATTTAGTAAATTCACCATTAATGTTGCGCTAATTAATGGTGCTGGACTTGAATGTTGATTTTTGAAACTTCGGGGTCCTTGATTTTCGCATTTAAAAAGTTGAGGTTTTAAAGTATTACCACCTCAAAGGACAGGGTACTGTATGTAATTTTCCCTTTTTAATATCTTTAACGGAAAAGATAATAAATCCTTAAAAATATAAAAGATAAATAGACATCTGTTTTAGTGTTTTCTATAACATATTTTTTTTGGGTCGAATTATTTGTTTTGGTCGCCAACGTGTTCGCATTTCGTTGGGTGGTCGTAAGAAATTGCTGCAACCTTAGTCGCAGTGAACTACATGTCAAATGGTTTCGCCGTTTCGGTCCTCGTCAAAGTCCCTCATTCGGTTATTCCCACCTTCCCAGACATCTCCGTCTGTACTGTAATAACTCCTAACCAGCCTGGTCCGGCGGGGGTTGCTTCACGCTGAGACACGCCTACTCGATCTTTCAACTACCAGAAAACCGAAAACTGTTCTGTTTTCGTTTCCGGACTAGAATTGCAGAACAACAATGGCGAAATCGAGTGCGGACGACGAGGAGCTCAGGCGAGCCTGTGAAGCAGCTCTCGAGAGTAGTGGCACTAAGGAGAAAATCGTGATGTCGATCCGCGTCTCAAAAAGTCGTGGGATCTGGGGTAGATCAGGACGATTAGCTCGTAACATGGCAAAACCTAGGGTTCTTGCGCTATCCAGTACGCTATTCTTACTGATTTCTTCATAAGCTGTTTCCCCAATTGATTGTTTTGACGATCTGGCAGCGAATATTTACTCTGTTTGCATGCATTTCTGATTGAATTTTGTTAAAGTAATGCTCAAATGTCACGTTATCAAAGATCATGTGTGATTAAGCATGGATTTAATTACGTGAATAATTGCCAAAGTTCAATCTTTTCCCTGGAAATGGTTTTTGCTTGAACGTGACCCACAGAATTCCACTTATGGATTTCATGGTCTCAAACATTTTATTTCAATGTTTGAGTTCAACTCAAAGAATAATGATTAAGCTAGTTAGCACTTTCACTGTTAATATCTGGTTGTTGCCATTTTTTTTTATTAATTTTTATTTTGCCTGGAAGCATGAACTCGAAATTTTGGACACAGAAGAAACTTACTTGCAGGAGGTAAGTGATAAAAGGCTTCCAGATGGCGGGTGTTAGATATTCTAAAATACAACCGAAGAAATATCTCTACTTTGAGCATGGTAATAGCATGATAGCGAGTCCACTTGTTTCACTTTATTGATGAATGCATAAAGCAATTGATGATTAGTTGCAAGGAGAGACAAGCGATAGAAGAACTTTCTGAGCTTTTATCACAGCAAGAAACAATAATTGAAGATCCGTTGCAATTTTGCACCCAGAGATTTTCAAAGGAGTGATAAAAAGTGCTTCAAACCCTTTTGCTTGAAGGTTCTAGTCCAATTTTGCATTAAAGCTTGTGTGTGTTTGCGTGAGTGATAAAAAGTGCNTTCTAGTCCAATTTTGCATTAAAGCTTGTGTGTGTTTGCGTGAGTGATAAAAAGTGCTTCAAACCCTTTTGCTTGAAGGTTCTAGTCCAATTTTGGAATAAAGCTTGTGTGTGTGTAAAATTGTGGTAATTTTTTTAAACACGAGGTTAGGTGCTAAGATTTTGTGATTTGTTAGGTGTAAGTTTGAATTTATAAGGCTTAAGTCTCATTAGATCTTATTTTTTCAATAAAACAATGAATTGAATGAGAAAGTATGCAACTAAGCACAAAATGCCATATAAGAGTCTTTGGACGAATTAATCATCGCTTAATTATGGACTATAAAGGACTGGGAGTTCTAAAAAATGCTAACCACATTCTTACGAATCCTTTGAGACTATTAAAAAATTTGTTTGGGATGGGAGCTTTGGAAAGATGGGATGGGATGAGAAGCAGAAAAATTATTTTCTCACTGAACCACTGGGGGATCCTGCACCAAATATGTGGGAGAATCAAGTTTTCAACATTTGTTTACTGGGAACATTTGCAGAATTGTATGCATGAACCTCCAAGCATAAACCATGTGCATGAACTGAGGGGTATAATGACAAAGTATATAATGTATAAAACATCCAATCACAACCCCTGTAATAATATAGTATATAATGTCTAAAATATCCAAGCATAAACTGACAACATCTTTATTTTGCCACTCCAAGCATGAACCAAAATACTTGGAAATATATATGATGTATAAAAAATCCAACAAACAATTTTAGGGTGGAGAATGGTTCAGAAAAAGGGTGGAGAAAACGTGTTTAGCTCTACAAGAACTTAAACAAAGTAGAGCTAGACTTAAAGCGCCATGTGCATGTAGCATACACCACTGGAATATGTGGTGTTTATAAATAGGGGCAATCAGTTCTCGCTGGCAACCTATAAACCCAAAAAACCAGGAAAAAAACAAACAGGTATACCGAAATCGATTGTTGTTGTCCCAAACGAACCATTGCTGGAGATGATGATGTGAATGGCGACTGATAAAAAAATGATGATATGAATGGCTGAAGTTCTGACCATTGGGAGGGGGTAAGTGATCAACTGTGGGAGAAAAAAAACCAAGCAAAAATAAACAAATAGAACACTGATCTGGTCTTACCATTGCTGGTTATGGCCAAAGAAGACGCTGGAGATGTGACTGCTGGAGGGTGTGAAAAGCTGGGCCGGGGAAGGAAGATGAGACACCTCTATCAAGTCCCAAAAATTTTTCTTGGAAGAGTCTCCGTAGAATCTTTTCTTAGTGGGGTCGCACTGATTTGGTGTGACCCTGTGTCCTCGGTTTTGAAACTCCATGTCTCACCATTTTCCTTTCCTGTCCTATTATTCCTCTCAAAACAAATATGAGAAAATGGAATTATTTGGGAAAATTCTAACTTTCTCATACCTTTCTTGGGAACCAAATGGACCCTTGGAAATCTTTTAGTTTAAAAAGTGTCAAATTGGTATTGGAAACTCTAACTATTTAAACAAATCAAGAATATAGACATGGAAAACTTAAAATTTTCTTTAACTTGGTCTATGATGAAAAACCCTACTTCAATTTATGTATGAAAGAAATCCTGAGTTCTTGACATAAGGCATCTAAGGTGTGAGGTATGTGTTTCATGCTTTTAGGCATGAGTCTCAGGGTTGAGCCTCAGCATTTTTCTTTAGCCTCACCTCAACATAAGCCTCAAGGTGTAAGCTTCAGATGCCTTTTAAAACACTGAATGCACTATTTTGGAAATTTCAAAATGCAAATGGAGGTTATGACAAGAAGGCTTCTCTTTCAAGGACATGGCTATCCCCCCACTCAGAAAAAGGATAAGTAAATTTTAACTGAAAATAAAAATATATGTAGATCAGGGTGGTTCTACTATAGTTCTCAAGTTGTGTTGTTTCCTAACTCAAGTAAGAAAGGTCATATCTTTTAATGACAAATCAAATCTAATTTTAATTTCATAACTCAAATAAAAAGCCCAGCATAAAGGCTTCAAGATGTTATATTGGTGTAGTGGCATTCTTCTAGATGAAGTGGGTTGTTTAATTACAATTAAAACCTATTTAGTCTCCCAAATTAAATAAACACTTCAAGACTTGCCATTTTGTATAAGTTTCTCTGTATCATGTGTGGGGTCATCAACTACTCCTCAAAATAAAGGTGAAACGCTGCAGATCATCAGTTACCCTATCCGCTAATATTAACTTTTGAGTTGCTCTTGTAGTTAATTAGATCTAGCATCTTTTGTATTATGGAGTATGAAATTGGGGTATTACAAAGTTGGTTGCTATGAATTGTTATGAGTATTTTATCCATCCAAAAAACTGTTATGAGTATTTTGGAGGACCATTAGTTCACATTAACCCAACAGATTATAGTTATTTATTTTCCAAAATAAATACTGCACAGTTATATTGGGAACTGCTGCTGAATGTCTGACTAAAGAAATGCTGCTGAAGAAGGGGTTCAATGTTCAAGACAAGATGTGTGTGCGCCGTGTGATAGTGAGGAAGAGTTGTAAACCATCTGTTCATGATTGCAGGTTTAGTGCTTCTGTTTGGCTTCATTTTATCAGGGTACTAAATTTGTAATGGTGCTTCCTGCACTCAATTAAAGCACTCTTATGAGAATGGATAGTCCCTGTTGTGTCCAAGAAAGGGAAAATTTACTGTTCAGCAATCCCTCTTGCGATTGTGTGGACCATTTGGTATGAGAGAAATAATAGAATTTTTTATCAGAAATCAACATCTGAAGCAGGGGTGATAAATCTGGTCATAGAGGAACTTAGAAATTGGATGCCTATACACAATGTATTTAAAGATGATAGTCTTTCTTCTTTTTTGAAATTGGGCTTTTTTGGAGGTTCCTAATTGGATTATACATGTACAGCATCTCATTGCACGAGGACCTTTTCTTTTGATATTATATACTTCACTTTCTTTTTTTTTTTTTTTTCTGTTCCAAAATCTTAAAGATGTTCTTATTAGACCAAATGTGATGGGCGGTCTCTGGTGGAAGGAGGAACATAAGGCGAAATTTAGAGTCAGATCATTTTGTATTGTTCTTGCTATGGTGGTATTACTCAATCAGCTGATTCTGGTTCTATCTAGGGAAAGCAGACAGAGGATTAGGTGTCATCGGTAAAAAAAAAAAAAGACAACGAAAGAGAGGAAAAAACAGAAATCAAGTGTGATAGTTAACCCCTGGGCCAGGAGCTCCTTCATGTTAAGATCAGCCCAAACTTTTCTAGCCAACAAGAGTTGGCAAATGGGATCTGTTCCAAGGGGGTGATGGTTGGAATCTGTCTTTTTGGAAAGACCCTTGGTATTCAGAGAGGTCTCTTGAAGTTATTTTTCCCTAATTGTTTCAGCTAGCTGAATGTAAGAATTATTCTGTGGCTGGCTGTGCAGTGATGGAAGGTGGTGATACTCTGTGGGTTCCTAAGTTTTGCAGAAGCTTCTTTGATTGGGAGCTGGGATCTGTGTGTGAGGTGCTGCAGATCTTAAAAGACAGAGCAGTCAGGGAGGGGCAGCTGATAGGTGGGGCTGGAAGAGGAACAAGAGTGGAGAGTTTTCAGTTAAGTCCTTTGCTGATAATCTGAGGAATCCCAGACAGATCCAGTTTCCCTATAAGCAGATATGGAAGACAACTTCTCCCCCCAAGTCAATATTTTTACTTTGGGCACCTGCTGAGAAGGGATTTGCAGGTCCAGGATCTAAGCTGTTTGTTGTGTGGGCAGGGAGAGGAATCCATTGATCATCCCTGTATCCACTGCCCGGTGGCTGCAGCTCTGTGGAACCTTTTTATCAATTCTGTGACTTTTCTGGGTCATTCCTGCTTCAGTGCATGAGTTGTTGACTTCTTGGGTGCTGCCAGGCCTGAGGAGCAAAGGCAAATGTGTCCTGGAAGGCTATTCCAGCAGCTGTTATTAGAACAATTTGGGCTGAAAGGAATAGGAGACTATCTCAAACCAATAAAGGGAGGTTGATATATTGATTAGATTTGCTACTGGGAAGGTTATTTCTTGGGTGTCTGTCTGTAAGGAGTTTGAGCACTAAAGTCCTTTTCAGGTGCTGAACTCAAGGAGCCTGTGGGAGTTGTAAGCTGTGGATGTTGGCTGGGGTGGGATGCTTGCTTGATCAATCCCCAGACCCTTGTTGTACTATTTGCTGGCTTGGCCTTTTTTTAAATAAGTTTTCTTTTACCATGTCATAAAAAAAAAAGAGTCAACAAATGTGTTTGCAGATCTGTAGACCTTCCTAAATGAGATTTGCAGGTTAGATGCTAGTGCTTTTGCTTCTTTAATAAGGTCTCTGAATCACCAAGGGCCTTTCTCCCTCAAAGACGTCCATCTGATAACCATTGAACTGTGTCCTTTATGATCATTCTGTCCACTTGATTTCTATGGAATCTCTTTTGCTCTCTATTCAGCTTTCTTGGACTTTCCCCTTTGATGTGGGAAATGGTTCTTTCTTGACCCTGTATCTAAGTGGGATTCTAGGGGTGCTATTCTGTGGGTTATGGTTTTTTTTTTTAGTAGAAATCTGCTGAATCAGAAAATCTGTAAAGAAAAAAAGAAAAGAAGTGTTTCTTGTGGAAGAAGAGAAGGAGAAGAGAAGAGGTTGAGAAAGAAAGAGAGAGCCAAAACATATCTGGCCGCCCTCTCTATTGGTATTTATATTTTAAGTAAAAAAAGAGTACAATGACTAATATGCCCTTATAGGGCGGCTAACACAAATAAACTCAATAAAAAACTTAAAAACTTCACTCCAAAGGGTCCCAACAAGTGTGCTGTGGTCTCCACTCTCTATCCAAACAAATAATAAACAAAATTAACTAACAAATCTACACAATATTCTTAACACTGCCCCTCAAGTTGGGAGTAAGGGCTTGTCCAATTCCTCTTAACTCTTATCTCTTAAGAGGAATCTTTTAACTTTAAGAGAAAATTGGTTGTTCGTTTTCTCTTATCTCTTATCTCTTAAAGTGCAATCATACAACTTTTTGTTTTCCAATGATACCCCCAAAAAGACAAACAAAAACTCTCATATATGGGGTCAAAATGGATATTTGATAGCTTTCAGAATTCAGAATTCAGAATTCAAAACAACATTCTCTACATTCAGAGTTCAGAGGAAAGAAAAGTTCACCAATATCAATATACCTCTTAATGTAATCATTACAATTTCAGATGTCAGACTTCAGAGCAAACGAACAGGCCCTAAATGTCACACATTCCCAACTTGCATAGGTCATGTTCAAGCTTGTTCTTTGCAACCCCTTTGGTGAAGACATCAGCTAATTATAACTCAGAGGAGACATAAGGCAGGCGGACTTCTTCGGCTGTCACCCTTTCTCTTATGAAGTGTCTATCAACCTCAATGTGCTTTGTCCTATTGTGCTGAACTAGATTGTGGGCAATATTGATTGCAGCTTTGTTGTCACAATTTAACATCATGGGCTCCTTTACATTTATCCCAATTTCACTCAACAAGGATCTAACCCAAAGTAATTATGAAACACCATGGGCCATAGATCTATATTCAGCTTCTGCACTTGACCTTGCCACCATTGATTGTTTTTTACTTTTCCATGAAACCAGATTTCCTCTCACAAATGTGCATACCCTGATGTGAATCTCCTGTCATCTAGACAACCTACCCAATCTGCATTTGTATAGGACTCCAATTTCAAATTCCCATGATCTGAAAATAAAATTCCTCTGCTAGGATGTTTCTTTAGGCATGCAAGTATCCTATCAATGGCTTCCCAGTGTTGAACCTGAGGAGCATGCTTATTACTGACTCACAACACTCACAACATAGGAAATGTTTGGGCATGTCATGCATAAATATAGTAGCTGGCCTACCATCCTCTGATATCTCCTTGCATCCTTAACCAACTCACCATCCATAGTATGAATCCTGTGGTTCAGATCAATAGGAGTAGGTTCTCCTATTGGCTGATATAGTTCCAGGTATTTCCCTTGAACCTGTTATTGCCTCTGATCCCATTGATGATGTGTGGATCACTTGTAATAATCCCAGTTCCAGGTATTTCACTTGTAATATAGTCACAATTCTTTCAACGCTAGCACAAGAGGGTTGACTCCACACATGCTCCAATAGGAGAACCTCCACCACTCCTATTGATCTGAACCACAAGATTGTGCCCATTCTAAATAATATATACCATCTTGGCTGATTGTGCCCATTCTAAATAATATGTACCATCCAATTTTACTGTGGTAATAATCCCAGATCCAAAAGGATCACTTGTACTTCCTACACCCAGACCTAGGTCACTAGCTGACTTCTACTCAATACTCCAACCCTCCATTTCAATTGAATCAGTTCAAAAGCAAAAAATTACTAGGTAGAAAGTTTCCAAGATTAGATTGATCTCACAAGCAGGGGTAGAAAACCTTTCCGGAGGAAGAAAAACCTACCCGGAGAGAAATCTCCCTTTTTGAGAGTTGTGGGAAAAGATGGGAGAAGAGAGAAAAGTGAATCGATCTCTCCAGGAGGCTTAGAAACAGCCAGAAACTAAACCACCTCTGTAAAAAGCCTAAAGAAGTCCAGAAAAGTCTGAGCACCCAATACCAGGTAAAAAATTAAGAGTATGACTTGACTAGGACTCTTCCCCGCACTCCAGTTCTTCATGATTTTGATGCCAAAACACAGATCACCTTTTTTGATGACTGAAACCCACCAAAAAAACCCAAGAACTGGGCAGTCTCAAGTAGATCGATCAGCCCTTTATCTCCTCATACAATCAACTGAACTAGGACTGCATGGACGAACTCCAAGAAACCCTAACCTTGCTTTGATACCAAGTAGAAATCTACTGAATCAAAAAATCTGTAAAGAAGAGAAGTGTTTCTTGTGGAAGAAGAGGAGAAGAGAAGGAGTTGAGAAAGAAAGAGAGAGCCAAAACTGATCTGGACACCTTCTTCATTGATATTTGTACTTTAAGTAAAAAAGAGTACAATGACTAATATGCCCTTATAGGGCGCCTAGAAAACATCACTCCAAAGGGTCCCAACAACTGTGCTGTGGTCCCTACTCCCTATCTAAACAAATAATAAACAAAATTAACTAACAAATCTACACAAAATCCTCACCATTTTGCAATGTTTTTGGGCTGTGTGGAAGGAATGAAATTGGAGAAATTTTGAAAATTTAGGAAGGTCTTTTGTGCGTTTCAGTGTAGATCAGTGTTTTAAAACACAGAGGTATCATGGTATGGGGTGAGGTGCTAGGATGCTTGATACATGATGCTTAAGCCTCATGGAATCTTTTTATTTCAATAAAAAAATGAACGTAAATGAGAAAAGGTGTAGAACTGTGCAAAAAGGGACTATATTTTTATATAAGAAGAATGTATAGATGAATTACTAATCATATAAAAAAGGGCTACTAAATGGTAAGAGCCTTATTAAAGATCTTTTAGACTATTAGAAAATTCTTAATATAAATCCAGAACTTCAAGTAAATGCTGAAAATCCTATATACAAATAAGAAAACATATTGCCAGGAAACCTTTGAGTTGGTCTTTAACACATTCTTATGATGAGAACTCTAATTTGATTAATGTATGAAACACATGATTTCCGCATAAGGAATCTTAAAGTGTGAACCATGTACATTATATTTTAAGGTATTGAGGTTTAGCCTTGGTGCATTTTCCTTAATCCTTGCCTTAGGGTGATACATTCAGGGCAGGAGCCAAGGGGCTCTCCACCTTCCCCCCAATGGAGAATCCTGGCTCTGCACCTGGATATATTGTAAAGCTTATCTATCTTTTCAGCCTTTTTTTTCTATTTCTTTAATCTGCATTCTTATTGACTAATAAAAATTACAGATTCATCATCATCATCATCTAATCCTTGTCCCAACTATATGGAGTTGGCTACATCACTACATGAATCCTGTTTCACCATTCTGTTCTGTTCAGTGCCATACCCATCATCAAAATTATGGGCGCTTAAATAATTTCTTCTTCCACCCAAGTCCTCTTCTAGCCTCTTCAACTTGTAACAGACCACTTCTTTTTATAGGTGCTGTATATGGTTTTCTATGTAAGGGATCAAACCACCTTAGTCTACTTTCTTTCATTTTATCACCTATTAATGCTGCTGCTGGGTTCCTTTGCTTGACTTCTTTTCTGACTCTATCCTTTCTAGTTTTACCACTCATCTATCTAAGCATACACATTTCTTCCAGTCATTTTTTGGACATGTTATTTCTTAACTGCTTAACACTCTGCTCCACATAACATAGCTGGCCTTACAACTGTTTTCAAGGTGTAATGTAGACAAGAGGTGTGTCTTTTATGTTCTGAATTTCAATTTTACAACATGGTTTTAGCAATATAGTGTCACATTTCTTATTTCATTGACTATTGTCAGTAAGAGTAACCACTGTTTTCTTGTCATTTTATGCATGAACTGTAATCACTATTTGTTTATACAGCAAAATATTCTTCAAAGGGTCAGAGGACTAAAGCTTTTCTTAGAGTCTTAAAGTATTCCTCTGGAGGAGTTCTTGAGGTAATTATATGTTCTGCATTTCTTATGAAAACAAAATATTCAATCACTTCAGGTCTTATTTTGTTATGGTTCTTTGTTAGACCTTCATGTAATGATCCTCATAGAACATCCATAAAAAAATGATCCTCATAGAAGTATAGAACCTCTTCAGTAAAGCTGGGATATAATGGTTCTACAAATATTGCACTGGTACTTGTTTCATTTTAAAGACAGCTGTACAAGTGTTGTATTAATGTGGGACCATTGTTTAATTCATCAGAACAGCTTTTATTTCACATATCCATATTGTCATTTGTTATCCTTTAGTAGAAAAAAAAAACAGTAATCTGATCTGATAACAGTGATAGAAAGAAAAGAAAAAAGGTTCTTGGTGAGAAGAAAAGAAGAGATGGGGAGAAGCCAATAATGATAGCCACCCCATTCATTGTCTTATATACTCATAAAATAAAACTGATTACAATGACTAATATGCCCTTAATAGGGTGGCTACTGCTAACAACAGAAAAAACAGTCCCAAAAAAATAATATAAACTAATGGGCCTTGGGCCCAATAACACTAACTAATGATTCTAAATAAGAAAAAAACATAAAAAACTGCTGAATCTCAACACCTTTAAACTCAAAATATTCTCTAGAAAAGTCAACAATTAAGAGAGCTATTGTCAAGGCATGCATACTAACCATTGGCAATAAAATCCTTAAAGTACAAAGAAATAGAAAAATAGTTAGAACTTAATCATGCAAAGAAATAAGAAAAGTTTGAAAAAAAACAAGAAATAGAAGAAGAAAGCAGGGGTTGTAGCCCCTGTTTTGTTTTGAAGAGAAGGAGGATGGAGGGTGGAGCTCCTGTTTTATTTTAAGAAAAGTGGAAAATTGAAGAGAAGAAGAAGAAGAAGACAGGGTTTGGGTGGATTGTAGAAGTGAAACTTGTTACTTATCTGTTCAAGTTCGAGCTGAGAAATGATGGAGTTCCCAGTTGGAACTCTCTTTAGTTCAATGCAACAGAAACCCTACAAGAAAACAAAAAGTGAATTTTATTTTGTTATTTGTTTGTATTTTTTACAAGTATTTTGTTATTTTTCTGTATTCTTATAAGAAAAAAATTAACACGTAACAGGTTCTATTTAAAAAAAAAACAAAACAACCAATAAAAAATTATCAAAATATATTAAAATGATCTTAATGTATCTAAGCACCTGCCTAATTCTCTGGGTGAACACCTTATATAAAAAACACATGGCGTCTGGGTGAGGTGATCCATGAAAATCGTGGCATTGCTTAGATGTTGCCTTGACAACTATGATTGGAAGGCTAAGTTATTTATCCTTAGATCTGCAAGGCTAAGGATATCAGCAATGAAAAACAATGAGTGATCACTGAAGCAATCTCGTTATTCATCTTTATTTTTTGTGAGAAAAGAAAGTTATCATATACAGCAGTACAAAAAGTAACTGTACATCCAGAAATAAGACTTATCAGCCTCCCAAAAGCTTTTAGCCCAATGAAACATCCAAGAAGAAGCTTCTATGAAATCAAACATTTTGAAAACATCTAGAGGTGGATAGCCAATTGTATACCACTGCAGTGGTATTCCTGCTCACCTCATCATTTTCAGAGGCCTTATTCTTGAATATCTTTGGGTTTTGTTTACCTCCAAACCATGAAAATGATGATTATTGGAATGGGCCTCCATATTTTCTTTTTTCTTTTCATGCTCAGATCCCCTTAATGCCATGCTTCCATCACCTCTTTTACTGTCTGTTTAATCTAGTTATTTATATCATTCCTTGTTAAGGTTGGTGTTGCTCTAAGATTGGGTTTGGAATGATTAAATTTTTTTGATGCATCTGTAGCCTGCAAAACTATACAAGCTAAAGCATCTATCAAAGGTAGAGGTTATTGCAAATGACCCCAGTGGCTGCACGTTTACACTGGTAATGCTCCATCTGAATTTATACTTTATACTAGTTTACTTTTAAAATTTATGTGGCAGTTTAAAAATATTCAGTTTTGTTGATCAGCTGGATTGAGAATAATGTTGCCACTTTTGTAACAAGAAGAGTTTCTTTGTTATGTTCAAAAAACTAATCTTATTCCATTCTCTCTCTCTCTCCCCCCTCGGGACAAACAGGGATTTGATAACCTTAGAAGCCAAAGTGTTGCTCAACCTCAGTGGACCATGCGCAACATCAGTGACAGGTGCGTATTTAGGGTATATGCAATTATTTTCAATCCAAGTATCTATTTTATTTGTTGCTAAGGTGCCACTTCTTGACTGATAGACCAAGGTCTATATTGACCTTTACAATTTTTAAAGGGTATTTTGTCAGTTTTTAATTGCTCAACACCTTGCTTATTCATTTATTTTCTTTTTGCTTGTAGGAATCGCCTTCTGCTTTGCATCTTAAACATGTGCAAGGAGCTACTAGGCCATCTTCCCAAAGTTGTTGGCATTGATATTGTTGAGATGGCTCTTTGGGCTAAGGTGCAAATGCTAATGCATCTGTTTTCTTCCTTGATTATTTCTATTTGTTTGATGTCACTGTATCTCATAGGGTTTACAGGGAATGGCTACAACATTGGGTTGTTTGATAACCTTAGCTTCTTTTTATATGCAGAAAAGTATCTTTTATTGTTCTAGTATAACTGGAAGTTTCTCACTGTGATGTGAATACTTATTTTCATTGTCGAAGTCAAATTATTAGCTTCACTTATCATAAAATGGACCTTTTCAGACAACTCTCACCAGAACAAAGTAACTTAGTCAAAGCCCTGGCTCTTAATTTGTCATGAAACAAATTAAATGAAACCTGGAGAAGATGGAGTTTAAGCAGATAGAAACCTGGAGAAAATCTCAAAAAGCTGAGGCAAAATCACTACTTTTTGAGAAGCTTAAAGTGAAAGGGAAGACCACACTGAAGATCAGGGAGATGGGAAAAGCCATGGTATTGTTAGTAGGTTTTGATGTGATTGAATGGTTCAGAATGTTTGTAGAAGAGGCACTTCAAGCAAATACAGAAACAGCTTGGAAGAGCTCCAAAGAAGGAAACAATCGAAGATATTTTTCTGAAAGAAGATGGAACAAGAAAGGTAGATTCCTGGCACTGATCGAATACTTTGGAAAAGGCAATAAACAACTAGTATGCATACCCGAAGGAAAGAATGGGTCAAGTTGGAGAGAAACCAAAGATGTGTTACTAGATTTCTTGGGAAAATTCTGAGATGAAACAGGTTTCTGGAGAAACAAGTAGTATCTACCCTCTGAAGGATAAATACCCTGGTTGTCACTTCTTGGTAAATGGTCTGGGTACTGATAAGTTGGCTTATAATATAGAAAAAGGTATAATGGGAAAAGAAACTGGTGGTTGAAGTTGAAAGGAAACCAGAAAACTGGAGGCTTGTAGCAGAGGACATAGCTAAGAATCTAAAGGTCAAAGGTCCAATCCTGTTTACCCCCTTTGAAGACTGTAAAGCTCTGTTAGACTTGATGGGAGAGGAGCTAGATATCAGTGCTTTGAATTTGGTGCTGAAGACTGGGGCAGCGACAGTGATGAGATGGTCCCCTAGCTCCAACTCCAAAGATTTTTCAGTGGAGGATGGTGTAGCCATTCAAATTGTTGGGCTTCCATTCCACCTGTGGAAGCTGGAGATCTTTCAGTCGATTGCATTCGTTATGTAAGGCAACACTAGCTAGTGTCTTTGCTTTAGATCTTCATTCTGTGGCTTTGAGAGTGAATGGAGTGGAGACTGAAGAAATTCCAAGGAAAATTCAGGTGCTTGCTGATAATGTCTTCTATTCAGCATGGATCTTGACCTCCATTGAAGCAGACCTCTGGAGAGGTTCTAGGAGAAGGGAAGACGAAGTGCTAGAAGATGAATACCTACATGGATCACAGAGATTGGCTAAATTCAAATTAGCTGAGGTTTACTCAGAAATGGAAAACTTAGGGTTGAAGAATACAAAAGGCTTTGCTGCAGAGCCAATATTGAGGCGTGCAAGCAAAGGCAACAACAACACTTATGCAGAAGTTCTGACAAATGGAGTAAATGCAAAAGATATGGCTGCCACGTGTAATGTATCCACACTGAATGTTGAACAAGAAACTTGTATTCTCGGGCCTAAGACAGTCTCAGTTAGTTTAGAAGGTGGGCCTTTAAAGAAAACTGTTGAGTTGGTCCGAGTTGTTTTTTATTTAGTTAGGAAGTTGTTAGGCTTTAGGCCCATTAGTTTATGTTTTTTTAAGTTGTGACTGTTCAGCTATATTAGTAGCCACCCTACTAAGGGCATCCTTGTAATATCTCATYCTTTAASTTAAGTATAAATATAATGAGAGGTAGGCGGCTAGGGTTAATTTAGAATCCTGGTTGACTTCCTACTCTTTTCTTCTTCTCCTTTCTTCTCTACTGCTGAAATCTTCATCTTCCCCTTCTTTCCTTTCACAAGAAACTCGACTAAATCTGCAATTAGTTATTTCTACTTGGTATCAGAGCGGGCCGAAGGTTCCTTGAAGTTGTTCTATCATGCAGCCCTAGATCGGCCGACTGCATGGTGATTTAAGAGGCTGATCGAAGCTCTTAGGTAAGCCCAGTTCTTGGATTTTTTTTTGGTGGATCTGTGTGCCCTGTAGCTGGTCTAGGGCTTCTCATCAAAATTAGGAAAAACTGGAGAAAGGGGAAGAGTCCTGTTTCTGTTGGACTCTTCAATTTTGACCTAGGAAGTGGTGCCCTAATTTTTAGGCTTCCATGGAGTTTTTTGTAAGGGGCGATTCAAGTCCTACCTGATTTGTAGGCTTCTAGAGAGAGCGACTGTCTCTTCTCTCTCTTCTCCCGTCTTACAGAAAATGAATCTTTTGTGGGAAGAAAGTCTAGGACACCAGAAAGGTGTTGTTGGTTCCAAAAAGTGTTTTGTTTGATCTTGTTGCAAATTTCAGATATTTTCTTTACATTTTTTGAGAAGCATGGAGGGCCACAGAGTTGGAAATAAGCCCGGGAGTGAAATAAGACCAGTGGGAGGAGGTGCTGGAGACCCTTTCGGGGCTGGGACCATTGCTACAGTTAGGTTGGATGGTGCAAATTACTTAGAATGGTCACAATCTACAAAGATGGCCATTGGTGCTCGTGGGAAATTAGGGTATATCATTGGTGAAGAGGTGAAACTCGAAACTAGCGACTCCCGGTGGGTATAAGAGAATTATATGGTGATGACTTGGTTGTGTAATTCCATGTTGCCCCATATAAGTAAAAATTTTTTTATGGGCAAATACAACTAAGGAAATATGGGATGGGGTTGCAGAAACCTATTCACATAGGGAGAATGTTGCTAGGGATTATCAGTTGAGAAATTAGATTATTTCTACAAGGCAGGGAGATAGATCTGTTGCAGCCTATTTTTCAGCCCTTAAAACCCTGTGGCAGGAGATTGACCATTTAGAGACATTTGCTTGGGAAACCACTAAGGATGCAACTACCTATCAAAAACATATAGAGAAGTATAGGGTGTTTGAATTTCTTGCTGGCCTTAATCCTGAGTATGATATTGCACGACAACACCTTCTTTCCAAGGACAGTGTTACTCTCTCCCAAGCATATGCCTTTGTGTCAGGGGAGGAGTGCAGGAGAGATGTGATATGAAAAACCTTATTCCTAATCAGTCTGCCATGGTAAGTGCTGTGAAACCTAAACAAAGTGGAGATTGGGGTGGCAGTGAAATCAAGAAGGAAGATAAAAGAGATTTGATCTGTGACTACTGTAAGAAGCCTAAACACACAAGAGATACTTGCTGGAAGCTTCACCCACATCTTGTGCCGACTAGATTGAAAAATAAGAAGGGAAATGCACACATGGCAGT